TATATATACATATATTACAGCACTAGTTAATCCAATGTGTATAAACATTTAAGTATCTAAATCGAATGGTTGAAAATCTCTTCTAATTCGTTTTGCTAACTCAGTTTCTTCTTTTATGTCCATTTGACAATCCTTCCAATCAACTCGATCGTTAAGATCCAATATCCTATCAGAAGCTAACACTTCTCTACCAAATTGTAGTGGGAAATCTTTCTTTATTCTATAGAACATTTTTTCTCTACTTGGCAATTCTACATAAAAGTATAAAACACCTGGTTTAGCAATTTGTTGCAAATCCGTGTGCAGTGGTAATTCTGTTAATTTGAAGTTATTACACTCTGCCATTTCCTGTAATAAAAGAGAATTATTCAAATTTCATGTATATTTTTAATAGAAACAAGCAGTTATTGTAGAAATTACTTCAAACGCTTCCTTTAGATCTGGTGCCTGGTTTTTATGAACAGGTACAGCTTGCAACTGACAATGAGATGTCTTGAAATTACGTTCAAAGAATACAGGTACTTTATCCATAGTGGCATAGTATTCCTTAATAGCATTCTTGTACTGCTCCATTTCCTTATTTACCTCTTTAGGTAGAATAGAAAGACTTTGATGATGTGTTATTGGTAGAATTAAAAAATGATTTTCCACTAATCCACCTCTGGCAAGTGCAACATAAATTTCTGTACCAACTGATATTACTAAATGTCTAGAGACTTCAGGGCTGGATAAACAAAACCAGCACTTTGCTTGATCAAATTCTCGTTTTGGTCTTTTATTAGAACCTTCTGAATATCTAGACCTTTTGCTTGGCTCCTTAGACTCCATGTCATAAAAATATTGTGTATGTTTGGGTTGTTCCAACTTCTTTAATGATGGTTCATTTGATAGCATTAATTTTGAATATGGGAAGTCTGTTTCATCTGTGGTTTTCATAACCAGTTCGGATAAACGAGTTCTGTCAACAGGAGTCAGATTCAATGCATATAACCATTTTTTCTTTTGATTATTCGTAACAGGCGCAAGTGCTATAAATCTTGTTGCAATTTCAATATTACTATCTTGTAGACTTTGATTCCTAATAGTTAAAATCCAGATTAAATAAATTAGATGTTTTAAATTAATTAAACACATTTTCTACTGTAAATAAACTTTCTATTACCTGTAAGGAGGTCTTTCGTAGTGAATACCTTCCAATGCTGACACATGATATCTTGGTTTTACTTGTCCAGCTAGCCAAGCAATTAGTTTAGAACCCTGATATTTAAAATTTGGTTTGGAAGGGTCCAAATTTGTGATATCAGCAGGCCATGGAGAACTCATTAGTATATCGATTCCACGAAAACTGGGCTGACCTTTCAAACAAGATTGTTTGATTGATATAACATCATTTTCGTTGAAACAAGTAGGTTTTGTGTCTGGAGAGTCACTTTGTGTTCCACTGATATAAGCTATCTTAAGTCCAGAACTAGCAGTATATAATCCACGTTTTCCAAGATAAGTCAGATTTTGGCATATTTCACAGCCATCGACGTCTGGATAATTAATCAAGTCAGTTTCTCTGTTAGCCCCAATGATATACGTGGGGACAGGTATATTTTTCATACCGTTTTTATACACTTCGAGTTCTGTATTGTTATCGCCGAAAAAATTTCCGACGCATAATAAGAAATCAAACGGTCCACTTTTCTTATTAATAGCTTCAATTTTGTTGAATAAAAATTTAAATTGACCCTCCACATCCCCGCAAATTAACACTTTTTGTTTTTCGCTCATGTTAAGTAATATAACCTCAACTTCATTAGATGAACAGTCTAACACGACATACACATAATATTAAGAATTCATCAATAGTTAAAATAACGTTTACTTATTATTACTTAAAAACAGTATTCTACTTTACAAACTTTACAAACGATTAACCGCGTTTATATTATAAATAATAACATATTTTCATCTGTTATCAAATCACTTCTTCAAACATACAAAGTTAACGGAACCATCGGGACTGCCAAGTGACGCTATCTAGAGTTAAATTCAGAATTGCAAGATTTTGTAAAACTTTCAAAAAAGAGCGAAAGATCGAATGGAAGGAACTGTGCATGTTATTACATAAAAATACTAAAACATTCCCACTATTATAGAATAAATGTCAAACAATGTGTTGTTACTATATCAAGATATAGTAGGCACCTTTTATCTGCTAAACCTATTTGCTAATAAAATGATTTGCAAATTATGAAATAGATGGCAGAAATATTGTCATTTGAGTGTCTTTTATATTACGATTGTGCATTTAGCAAGCACCGCTTGAAATCATAAAAATACTATTTTTGGGAAGATTGAAAGAAATGCGAATGCATCAATGATCGTTAATCTTATTAGAATTATTTTTGTATGTGAAAAATAATTTTTCTATCAGAAAAGGGATGAAACTTTTGAAAAATAAATTAACATAGCAATATTCTTACAACTACATAGGATAATTAATAATACTTTATCAAATCCAGGAAATCGGTCTCTGCGACTTGTTATGATTAGAGGTCTAAATTTCTTAAGAAAACGAGAACTCACTTTTAAATCAATAGGAAAAGTTATAAGTAAAGAGAAACAAATACGAATTCGATGGCCACAAAGTAGCCACGAAGGATAACTCTCCGTTCGTATATGCGGAGACTGGCGACGAGGAGGGATCACCCCCGACCCTGATTCGCTCGTCTGAAAACCTTGCTCTTTTACGCAATTTTAGCGTTTATTAAAGTTTGCTCGCAAATGAAACGAAGCCCATATAACCTACCTAATTTAGCGAGTAGCATTTTCGAGTGGGGGCCACTCCAGGAGAGGAGGAGAGGCCGGGTTCTATTGACAGCGGTTATTGCCTAACTGCGTGCCTCCACCTAATATGCCCGCTCGGGGATTCGCATGCAGGGCCGCTCGAACGAAAACTGCGAAACACGCCTGTGAATCTTTAATTCCGCCGGTGGTAATCCAGCATCCCTCTCTTCTCTGGCTGCACACCATCCACCCCCTTTTGCCCCACCGAGTCAGCCGGCCTATTCGAGCTTGATTTTTCCCTGGTTTCGCGAGATGCGAGCCCGTGTATCGTATGGGAATTCTTTATCGCAAACGAACCCCCAGTATCGTGCTGACTTTTCATTTATACGGTCGTCGATACCTGCATTACGCATTGATTTCATCCGTTTTTTCTCTTCTTTTAACGCACATGAATACGTAGCCACGTATATGCATCCACGCGCATATTTTTTTCTTCCTTTTATTTTGATCTCTCCGTTTTTCATCTATTTTAATTTTAATGACGACCTTGTTTCGTTTTAAAGTACATGACTTTTTTTCCATCCACCGCCCATCTTTTTTCCTTTTTTCGTTCATTTTTCGTTCCCTCGTCACCGCGTAAATTTTTGATGGAATATCCGCTCGAAGTGCACGCGCGCAACGAGAGGTTCATTTAGTTATCAGTTATGAAAAAGTATTACTTTTTTTCGCATCATTTTTATTCCGCGCTTCTCTCGCTCGTTATTTTTCGAACGCGCACGGAATAACTTGACCCTTTATCCTAGCGATCAAGTATCATCGTTGTTTCGTTTTCATACGAAAACCGTATTCGTTCGATCGCTGAAAAAAATGCACCAGGGAGAGATACGGTCAATTCAAATAATTACCACTCATATATTTTTTGATTCGTTATCTCTGTTTAAAGTACTTTAGATCGGGTTCTTCGCAAAATCGGAATTCGTGGATATTTTGAGGAATGAGAACCGGCGATCGACGCTCATGCATTTTTGTTTGTTTAAACCTCGTGCGCACGATCGCAAGCGGATGCGAGAGCAAATGACGGCCCTGCCTGCATTTGAAACTCTGTTAACTCTCCGAATATTAGCTCGTCGAGCGAGATTAACCCCATTGTACCCCCGTTGAAAATGATGACATCACCATTAAACTCCCGTCGGCTTACGGAAATTGATTAAACTATCAAATTAGCTCTACTAATATCAATACATCAACGTGGAACGTCGTGTGTTTGGGACTGCGGAGGCTTAAACTCTCGGCGGCGGGCGACGATGACGTGAATTTACGTGTCCAAAGATCAGTTCGACGTTCGTATTCATCGGCCTGATTATATTTCCTAAGAGGTACGCAATCATACCAGTTTGCTGCATGCGCGTTCGAATTTCAAAAGGAACCAGTTTAATACGAATAACATCGTTCAAGACTGCATACTATTCCAGAACTTGCGAACGAAATTATTACGGTGGAGTAGGATTATTCATTGAATTAATACTGAAAATATTGATTGCATCATCTCCTCTCTTTAGATGATGTACAAAATTTCAATAACGACATGATTGACAAAATAGCTCATTTTTCAGATTAAGCGTTTTACGATTAAAATACAGGTACAACTTTACATACTTTTTGACAGTAATTTGTTGTATATTACATGTGAATTAAATATGTAAGTAGAAATGCAAAGTCTTCTACTTCTGGAATTTGATTTCTGGCCTGGTTATTCAGTATTGTTCTTGAATAATACAGAATTAAGCAAAGATTATTAATAAGGCTTTGTCTCATTTTGACATTTTAAGTCTAGTCTCTGTTTTTAAAAATTGTTTAATAATAATTATGCATCTAAGATTGTAATTCAGTACTTTATTGGTTTACTTTAGACGGCATTAGGTAGGCGTTTCAGAAACAATGAATAGATCATAGGGTCCGATCCGGTCGAAGGAGATTCCTAATCCATTTACCTCGTTCAGTAATTCCGTTGGTGTATAATCCGTCGTATGAACATACCTGCTCGATGCGCCGTTTTCAAGAGTGGTTGTGTGCTTCTTGTTCCTTTCCATTTTATATTCAAAATCCGATTATACCTGCGCATTACGGCTTCTATGTACACAATGTACTTAAATATTAGGAATTCATGAATGAACTTCGAACCATAAATGAAAAGCTTCATATAGTATAAACGATAATATAAATTAGACATTCGAGAAATAGTTTAAAGTATAAATGATTGTCATAAGTATTTTCTAGCGCGACGAGTTAAATAATAGATCTAACTTTTTTGCTAACAAATGAAACATACGAGTCACGTAGCAGTAGCGAAGAAACGTTTCTCTGAATTCGAGTCATTCCTTTGCAACCAGCATCCAGGAACTACGGAGCGTTAGGTGTACTGTCAAGGGAAGTGTGAACAATTTCGTGCATTGTCGAGACTATAATATGGATGGCTGGCAGGATAATTATTGGAGGCCGTTTGAATCTAACTGTTTCCTTCATTAGCAGTCTCAGTTCGCCTGGCTGTCTCCTTCTACCTTCCCTCCTTCGCTGCCACCCACCCTCTCCTGTCTCTGTCACTTCTTCTCGACTTCGTCTCCCTGCCTCTGTCTGAATTTTGTGCAGAATTACCCACCATTATCATAATTGCGCTATTACCGATAATATCTGCGACTCAGCTTCGAAACTGTACCTCGATGCTCTTAATCCATTTTCTATTTGGACAGCGGGCTTTCGGTGGACGAGAAGTCGCAAATTCCGTTGCGTAATTTCCGCCCCATTGAGCATCTCTCTTAGGTATGGAATTATGTGTTTCGCCTACGGACTCCCGAGCCGGGCGATTGCCAAGTGAAAACGAACAGCAACCAGCGTTCCGAGTAGCGTCGATTAAAAAAACTTGTTCGCTCTCGTGTCTGTCGGTTCGGAACGCTATCAACATATCCTATTCCTCAAATTACTCATATCGAGATACGATGCCAATGTTGCGTTTAATATTTTGTTATTAATGAATAGTGAAAATTTCGTTGGGACTGTCATCGTGATCTTCGACGTATCGATTCTTCGTATTGCTTGCGGGCAATTAGGAGGGACAGCAGGTGGTATAAGCTGAACGTGACAGTTTTAGGTGGGGTGGAAGAATGGAGGGTTACCTCAATGCCGCAAATAAATCCCTACTCTATTATTGTTTGTAACGGGCTCGGTCAGGGTGGACCAGTGTGTCCAGTGCTCTATAACGTTCATTAACGGTTCCTCGAATCGCATGCACTCGTTATCCAGCTAATTGCAATTTCCACGAAGCGCCAAAGTGCATTAATAACTTAAACATACTTATTGAAACTCTCCAAATTAGACGATTTTCAGGAATGTAAATGTAAGTAGTTTCAGACTGTCAGTTTCACCAGATTTAACTCTGTTATATTATATCAATAAGCGGTCACGATTTACAAGTTTCAATCGGCAAGAAAATTTGCTTAGACCATCGCACAATCTTTAGCCCATTCATAGTATCGAGACAGATATAAACGAAGCGGAAGAAATTAATACCTGGCCGATGATGTCGCGATTGCAACTTATCTCGTTAAATTCTCATTTCTTCGATGGGACTACGAAAGTAACCGTTTGAATACCGAGGCGAGGCATCGGATAGGAAGCAACGGGGACAGGGTAAGGGGCGAGCTAGGAGCGCGGAGTGTAAGTGGGGATGTGGCATAATTACGAATATTAATTGCGTTTCCAACGAGCTGCTGGGACGGGGGGGCTGCTGAGTGCAGATGTCAACCTATTATCATCCCTTACCTTACAATGGGTGAGATCTCGCTTTCTGTGTGTCGCTTTATCTCCCCCTGCCCTCCTCTCGTTGCTCCTCTTCCCGTTCTCTCGTCTCTTTCGCTCTACAACGCTATCCTTTCCCTTTCCCTGCTCCCTCGACTGATGATATCACCCCAGCTTTATTGCAAAGTTAACAATGTTACTCGTTCTTGAATAGCTGCGGAGTATCATTATCAACGTGTCATCAGCAGGACGAGGATCGTCTGCTTTTATAAAGTAAGATAGCATGGCGGAAGGAAGGAAGTTGGATAGACATGCGGCAAGTATTTCGTTCATT